ATCAAGGACTACTATGTTTGTTAAAGTGAATGACTTTGACTTATATTCAAGGTCACAGGGGTCAAATTTGTTTAAAATCTTTAAACAACCTCTTCTGAATAACCATGGGTCCCAGGATGTTTATACTTTGCAAGTTGCATCCTGAGATGAAAGGCTATACAATGTGTTCAACATAATGACTTTGTTCGACTTTCAATCACAGGGGTGGAATGTTTAAAAAAAAAATAACAGGGTCTTTTGAATGAATTTTAATCATAAATACTGATATTTTGCCTGTAGCTTTATTTCAGATCACTTTTAAGGTTACAAGTGTGAGTTTTATACCAGGTGAGCGATGCAGGCCCATTGGGCCTCTGGTTTTTACAGATACCATGACAAAATCTGGTTTCATAAAATTCTAGGCAATTAAATGAGATGTCCTTCTTCATGTTATCTATCACTGATATGTGCCATCATAATCTGAAATCTGAAAATGGTTTTACAAGATAGCATAAGAGACTCGTTTGATTCAAAATATCTATTTTGATCAAAACTTGAATATTTTGTTTCTGCTGTCAGATTGAGAGCCAAAATAAGTCTCATATCAAGGCACTGACCAACCTTGGTCTGAGCGAGTCCATGACCAGCAGTGTCCTGAGCGCCCTAGAGATGGAGGGGCCGTACAAGAAGGTGTCCAGTTATCTCCGTATCATCACCAAGACCAAAGGACCGGTAAGAACAGGGTTTTATACATAGATAAGATACATAGATTTTATTCTGACAAAATAAGGATTTACAATCCTTTGACAGTCAGTTCTGAAAATAAAAAGAAAAAAAACCCTTTCTTTTAGATTTAGATTTTTTTTTTAAACTGTATTTCTGCACTTGGTTTTGCCAGTGTTCATCTAATTTATATTCAATTTATATACAGTGACCATACCCATGTCATATTTTGGTCATTTGTACATTGTGTAATAGGACCTTTCAGATGTGACATTTTGAATAGGACAGTAAACATGACATCATAGAATGAAAACGGTGTTTGAGAGAAAAGGAAAATTGTTGGAGAAACATTTTTTGAGAATATTCACATACATTTTTGCTCATATGATAAAAAGCATGTGAATTTATTTCCATTTATTTTAAAGCATTTGAAACTGGAGTTAATAAACCTTACAATAACGAACTTGTTGCAGATCCCATTTTAACGATAACTGTAAATCATGTACATAATAGTTTTGCAATTGCATGTAGTTTTGCAAGAAGAGTAAATTGTCATTAAAAGATCTTTTGTATTTTCAAGTAAACACAATAAAATATATACTCGAAACTCTTTTGTTCAGCTAACACTTATCCATTTTCCCGCTATCAGTGCACAGATTATACTTTTTCTGGACCAAATTATCCTAGTAATCCAGTTGTCTCACAACCACTCACTTTTACAGGGAATGATCATGGCTGAATTGTCTAGTCTCCCCCACTAGTCAGAGATATCCACACTTTCAGTCAGGGAAAAATATTTCTGTCTTCCCTAGGGTAAAGACAAGGGGATTCCACTGTCATAACAAATGTCGTCACATCACCGATTATGGAAGATAAACCTCCAATTTGCTGGAAATTATGAAATCAAAATTTGTATTGCATGAAATAACCACTTGTTTTTAGTGCAGGAGAAAAATAATCATTCCCCACTTCAGATTTAAGACAAAAAAATACCTCTAAGCCATGGGCTAGCCATTTAAGAATCTTACACCTTGGATTAAGATTTTTCTGTCTTAATCCCAAAATGTGGAATGATTATATTAGTCTTCACTGTGAACCAGTTATGTGTTCCTTTCATAAATTCAACATATTGTTAATATTAAAGTAATTTGTGATGATAAATAGTTATGAAAAAGAGGGCATCAACCTGGAATATTCCTTGTATATTTGTGTAACACTGTGACAGCATAATATCTTTTTTTTGTTGACGGATAAGTTCTAAGATAAAATATGCTTGCCACTCGGTAGCTAATATTTTGTTTCTGTTGCTAGGCGGCAACGCTGGCCAAGCAGGGCATACATGAGGTGGAGGCAGTGATGGGACATGCAGAAGCCATGGGTCTCAAATTCCCGGTACGTGCTCTAATGTACCACGCCAATTCCTTTTAGTGAAGTATACAGCGATTTTCAGTACGTTATTGCACCACTGAAAGTACTGAATTCATTATGACAGAACACCAGTCTTTCATAGATTTACTTTCCAGCAAAGGAACACTGGACTAGGTAGACTAGAACAAATCAAGTAAGGAAAGAAAACCAATTTCTGCATAGAATGTTTCTAACTAAAATTGGGAAATATTATACAATTATGGTCTTTTGTGCTGGTGAATATGATGTCGTCTGACAGATCGCATTCCGTTTTAACTGCGCATGCGCTACGACAGGTTTCGGGGAATTTCCATATAGGCTATATTTAGAAATTGATATTCACCAGATAACCAGTCTACATGAGTTTTTGAGGACTGGTCTTATGTATAGGATCCGACCAATGTGATTGCGTGAAATTTACAAGCATATAATAAATATCAATGTAGTATCAAGTTTGATTTTTGTTAATGATTTAATGAATACATTACAGATTGTGTTCAGTCTAGGATGTATCTACAACACACAGCAGTACTCGGGGGTCATATTCCAAATTGTGTACGACTCCAAGAAGAAGAAGCGAACCATCCCAGACCTCATAGCAGCAGGGGGCAGGTACAATGGACTGGTAAGTATTTAATCACAGTTAAAACTGATGAAGTGTCAATGTTGTCAAAGAAATTGTGATATTTTTTTTCAAATTTCTGAAATGTCAACTTGTTTATATCAGCATATTTAAAATGTTTTATTTATATGCCCAGATAAAAAAAAAAACACAAAAAAAACACAAAAAAACAACAAAATTCAATAATTATATTAAAATCAAAATTTCTTAACCTATGCAGGGCTTGTACAGGGTAGGTCAAAATAGACCTCTCTGTAGGACACCTTGACTGCCATCTAGTACTTTCAGTACTGCTGACAGCAAATAATGCCTGAACAAAACCAGCTCATAGGTCCTCAAGAGTGCCACATGGCATCATCAAACTACTTTCATAGTTCCTGTGGTTCACATTAATAAGATAGAATTAAACTCAAGTTCTGTTGGTAAGAATTCCTGATCATGATGTTAAATGGTTCAAGGTTTGCTATTGTGTGTTTCCATCCACAGGTGAAGAAGTTTCAGTCCCCTCTGGCTATGAGTGCCACACCTACGGGTCACTCAGCTGTCGGGGTCAGCATCGCCTTTGAGAAGATTGTCACAGCCGTCGGGGAGAACAAAGAGGTGAGGCACCTGCTATAAAGCCCTTTCCTTATAGAACTATTCCTACAGGGAAAGGCCATAATAGATTTAGTACATTAAGTGACATTGGAAAATTGGAACTTAATTAATATAAATCAACGACAATTTTGTCAACAAACAAAAACAAGCAAAATTTCATTGGTCTCCTACTGTCCCTGATATCCACTGAAAGTTGAGTTCAAGGGCTACCCACATCACAGGGGAATCGTGCCCAGATTAAGGATAGTCGCCCATAGTGAAGGGGTGAAGACAAGGACAGACAAGTCTATACTAAATGGGACCCATGAAGTTATTCAATCACGATCCTAGAAATTAACATGTGACGCACTAATTCTTTTTGAAAAATTAGAAACGATCAAACACTGTTGTTAAATGATAAGTGAACTGGAAATTCAAATTAACCGTAGATCACATTTAGCTTCACTAATAACTAAACAAAAGTGAATGTTCTACTGGATGTATTTAGTGTGAAAATATATCTATTTGATATTAACACATGGTTACACATGGAGTGAGTTTTGAAAGTAACAATAACAAGTTGTGTGATTATTTAAAAAAAAAAAATGTAAATCAATAATAGAAATGAATTGATTTCTATTTGATGTGAACAGTTCCACCCACCTGGTCCGTATGACATCCTCGTGTGTACGATTGGCTACAACCCCATGCTGAAGGAGAGGATGGGCGTGGTCAAGGATCTGTGGGCGGCGGGGCTGAGGGCAGATATACTACTGGACACACTACAGGTAAATATGGGAGAATTATGTTTTATTTGGGTTTCAAGTCCTCGCACCAGGCGGGGTGTATCCTTGTTAATTGGGATTTACCTGAGCAGGATACCTTATACAGGATGATTAAACTCTTACATCTGTACAGGCAACAGTAAATGGTGTCTACACCTATTTCTGTACATGTAACATAATAAATTGTGTAATTACTTCACCTTTATAAATGGACGTATACTTTGATTTTAAGCTGAAAATGGTAAAAAAAAGCTGCTGAAATGTATATTAATAGGAGTTGTGATGAAAGAATTAGTCCTTCATTGGAAAAACAATTATATTTTCCCCCAAAGTATTATATATTGTATTTCTGTTTGCAGAGTTTAGAGGACATCCAGGAGTATTGTCGGACAGTAGGAATCAATTACCTAGTCATCCTGAAGGACGCAGACACCAGCTGTGTCAGGGTAATACTAATTGTAACTTTACCCTCCCTAAATAACTGACACTGGCTGTGTCACGGTAATACTAACTGTAACTTTGCCCTCCCTAAATAGCTGACATCGGCTGTGTCACAGTAATACTAACTGTAACTTTGCCCTCCCTAAATAGCTGACACTGGCTGTGTCAGGGTAATACTAACCGTAACTTTGCCATGCCTAAATAGCTGACACTGGCTGTGTCAGTTTATACTGTAACTTTACTCTCACTAAATAGCTGACACTGGCTGGGTCAGGGTAATACTAACCGTAACTTTGCCCTCCCTACATAGCTGACACTGTCTGTGTCAGGGTCATAAGGAGGCAGACACCAGCTGTGTCAGGGTAATACTAACTGTAACTTTACCCACCCTAAATAGCTGACACTGGCTGTGTCACGGTATTACTGAAACTTTACCCTCCCTTAATAGCTGACACTGGCTGTGTCAGGGTATACAGTAACTTTACTCTCACTAAATAGCTGACAATGGCTGTGTCAGGGTTATACTGTAAATTTACCCTCCCTAAATAGCCGACACTGGCTGTGTCATGGTAATACTAACTGTAACTTTACCCTTCCTAAATAGCTGACACTGGCTGTGTCAGGGTATACAGTAACTTTACTCTCACTAAATAGCTGACAAAGGCTGTGTCAGGGTTATACTGTAACTTTACCCTCCCTAAACAGCTGACATCGGCTGTGTCAGGGTAATACTGTTGCTTTGCACTCCCTAAATAGCTGACACTGGCTGTGTCACGGTATTACTGAAACTTTACCCTCCCTTAATAGCTGACACTGGCTGTGTCAGGTTAATACTGTAACTTTACCCTCCCTAAACAGCTGACATCGGCTGTGTCAGGGTAATACTGAAACTTTACCCTCCCTAAATAGCCGACACTGGCTGGGTCATGGTAATACTAACTGTAACTTTACCCTTCCTAAATAGCTGACACTGGCTGTGTCAGGTTATACTGTAACTTTACACTCACTAAATAGCTGACAATGGCTGTGTCAGGGGTATACTTTAACTTTACTCTCACTAAATAGCAGACACTAACTATAACTTTGCCCTCCCTAAAAAGTGACACTGGCTGTGTCAGGGGAATACTGTAACTTTACCCTCCCTTAATAGCTGACACTGACTGTGTCAGGGTAATACTAACCGTAACTTTGCCATGCCTAAATAGCTGACACTGGCTGTGTCATTGTAATACTAACTGTAACTTTACCCTTCCTAAATAGCTGACACTGGCTGTGTCACGGTATTACTGAAACTTTACCCTCCCTTAATAGCTGACACTGGCTGTGTCAGGTTATACTGTAAGTTTACTCTCACTAAATAGCTGACAATGGCTGTGTCAGGGTTATACTGTACCTTTACTCTCACTAAATAGCAGACACTGGCTGAGGCAGGGTAATGCTGTAACTTTGCACTCCCTAAATAGCTGACACTGGCTGGGTCAGGGTAATACTAACCGTAACTTTGCCATGCCTAAATAGCTGACACTGGCTGTGTCACGGTATTACTGAAACTTTACCCTCCCTTAATAGCTGACATCAGCTGTGTCAGGGTAATACTGTAACTTTGCCATCCCTAAATAGCTGACACTGGCTGTGTCATTGTAATACTAACTGTAACTTTACCCTTCCTAAATAGCTGACACTGGCTGTGTCATTGTAATACTAACTGTAACTTTACCCTTCCTAAATAGCTGACACTGGCTGTGTCACGGTATTACTGAAACTTTACCCTCCCTTAATAGCTGACACTGGCTGTGTCAGGGTAATCCTGTAACTTTACCCTCCCTAAATAGCAGACACTGGCTGTGTCATGGTAATACTAACTATAACTTTACCCTCCCTAAAAAGTGTCACTGGCTGTGTCAGGGTAATACTGTCACTTTACCCTCCCTAAATAGCTGACATGGGGCTGTGTCACAGTAATACTAACTGTAACTTTGCCATCCCTAAATAGCTGACACTGGCTTTGTCAGGGTAATACTGTAACTTTACCCTCCCTAGATAGCTGACACTGACTGTGTCAGGGTAATACTAACCGTAACTTTACCCTCCCTAAATAGCTGACACTGGCTGTGTCAGGTTATACTGTAACTTTACTCTCACTAAATAGCTGACAATGGCTGTGTCAGGGTTATACTGTAACTTTACTCTCACTAAATAGCAGACACTGGCTGAGGCAGGGTAATACTGTAACTTTGCACTCCCTAAATAGCTGACACCGGCTGTGTCAGGGTAATACTGTAACTTTGCACTCCCTAAATAGCTGACATCGGCTGTGTCAGGGTAATACTGTAGCTTTGCACTCCCTAAATAGCTGACACTGGCTGTGTCAGGGTAATACTTACTGTAACTTTACCCTCCCTAAATAGTGACACTGGCTGTGTCAGTGTAATACTGTAACTTTACCCTCCCTAAATAGCTGCCATCGGCTGTGTCAGGGTAATACTGTAACTTTGCCCTTCCTCAATAGCTGACATCGGCTGTGTCAGGGTAATACTAATAGTAACTTTGCCCTCCCTAAATAGCTGACACTGGCTGTGTCAGGGTAATACTGTATCTTTACCCTCCCTAAAAAGTGACACTGGCTGTGTCAGGGTAATACTGTAACTTTACCCTCCCTAAATAGCTGACATCGGCTGTGTCAGGGTAATACTGTAACTTTGCCATCCCTAAATAGCTGACACTGGCTGTGTCACGGTAATACTGTAACTTTACTCTCCCTTAATAGCTGACACTGACTGTGTCACGGTAATACTAACTAACTTTGCCCTCCCTAAATAGCTGACACTTGCTGTGTCAGGGTAATACTGTAACTTTACTCTCCCTAAATAGCTGACACCAGCTGTGTCAGGGTAATACTTACTATAACTTTACCCTCACTAAAAAGTGACACTGGCTGTGTCGGGGTAATACTGTTACTCAATCTGATTAAAATCATCTGAATGTGCCGCGGTCAGGGATCCTTTAATACCAAAACTTAAATTGGTAAGTTACAAAGTTACTTATTAAACATAAACACATTGTCTGACCTTGTTTCATTATTTAGGTGCGATCCATTGAACGAGAAAGAGTGACGGAAAAGAAAGTGAACATTCCTGATTTAGCAGACTTCCTCCAACCAAAGAATCAAACTTATAAAATGTAAGATATTGTACTGATGATATCTTTATTTTTTTCCATATTAGGTTTTTT